CACTCAGGAACAGAGCTTTGAACTGTGAGACACAGGCCATGATCCACACCTGAGGTCTAGGGAAAAGGGACTTGTTCTAGGTACAAACCCAAGGGCAAGGCCCCGTGCCCAAAGGGATGTGTGCTCCCAGGCACTGCAGCTAACTGCCACAGTAAATTCTCTCACTGGTAAGAACTGAAATCCACCAGCATCTTTTCAAAGCCTTCAGAGAACTGTTTTTTACTGGACATTCCTAGTTTGTGTCCCTGGAAAGGGCAGCTCCTCCTTTCAGAGATGCTGCTGGCTCTGCAGCAGGACGCTCTGCACAGCACTGGAATGCTCAGGGAGTCACAGCCCCACTGCCTGACAGGGCAGGGCAAGCCCTGTCCTCTAAGGGAGGAAGGGCAGATCCTCACAGCAACCCCTCCAACAACAGGAAAAATCCCTAGTGGAGTTTCAGGTAGGGTCCTGCATGGATGGTCCATGTCAGACCCTCGTAAAGGGAGGGAAGGGCTGAGTAACTGCATCCTGTAGTAACTGCATCCTGCAGCTCAGGTCTAACTCCTCCTCCCTCACTGCAGGCAGAACTTGCACCTTGGCACACAGAGCAAGTATTGCTCCCACCATCTTCACCCTGCAACTAACAGAAACCTGGACAGCAGAGAAAAGGTGGTGAGAAATGTCACTCATCTCTGTGCAGGTCACTTTTCACTCTGAGTTACATCCTGTCATCACTGTATCATCCTTCACTGGGGTCAGCACTGGGTATTTGTGCCTTGTGGTCCCCCTCCAATGGTGACAGAACAGCCCTTTGAGTCCCATCATAGTGTGAAAGCTGGGAAAAACTGGGAACACCTGGAGGGTGCTGGGAACATCCATCCTGAGTGCCCTGCTCCTGCAGCCACAATGGAATCTGCAATATTAGTAATAATTCCTTCCATTTCAGCCCAGGCTGCTTTGCTATTGAGCTGGGCTAAGGAGGGTCCTGAAAAGTGGTCTCAGGTCCACAGAATTCACATTTCCAATCACATCAGCAGGACAGAGCTGAGTGAGGACAACGAATTCATGCTGGCTGCAGGAAGAACAGACAGGTAGCCAGGTTTCATGCCTACAACCAGGATATTTGATCTACCCCTACAGCAAAAAGCAGGAATTTAATACATCTTCTGGAGACATGAAGATATTTAATCTGTGGGACCAGGAGAAAGGTGAAGGGCAGCAATGTGAGATGGGTTCTAGCAAGACCAAGGACTCTCTTCTCCTCACACTCATATCTCAGCGTAAGCAAATTGCTATTCCATCTGCTAATGGATCTAAGCAACAGCTGCTGCTTAACATAAAGCAGCAGCACACATCCTTGGAAATCAGTCAAGGTTGTACACTTGCATCCTTTGGGCAGAAAGATTCTTGGAGGGGCGATTCTCCCAAAGAATTTCCCAAGTGAACTTGGGAAGAGTGGCAGGACAGGTTCTAGAGCCCTGAGCGCTCTGTCCAGAGTGGCTGGAAATGGGAGAATAATTTGCACATTCACATACAGTTTTACACATGGAGTAAAGTGAAATTCAAAGCCCTCTGCAGGATAGAACACCTAGGTTTGAGACAGAAAAGTCTAGACTTGCCCCAGTTGTTGCTATATTATCCCAGTGCCATGCAGGGGCTGGAGCAGAGCACACGGGGCAAACTGGCACCATGGGTATGCTGTGTGCATCCTGCAGGCTTGAATCTATGGAGAAAGAATAATTCTGTGAAATGCAAATAAAGAGACTTTGCCAAACCCCCCCCCCCCCCCCCCTTCAGTATGGATTTTACACTCAGTAAAACCTTCACTATGGAAGGTTTTCCCATTTACTAAACACAATATTTCATACACATATGAAGAATAAATGTAAACATCTTAGAATCCAGCATCTGCTGTGAACCTATAAATAATATCTCTTTGCATGTCCATGCCTCTGACTCTGCATCTTTGGGCTGCTGTGTGAGAATGTGTGATTTAGGAATGGTCTGAACAGGAAAACCGGGCTGAGCACATTCACTGGTCTGATGTGAGGGGAATAACCATGGTAATTAATGCACAGGAACTCTCTTTTCACCACTCAGTGAAAAAGCCCAAAGCTAAAGGAAGCAGAGAGCAGTTCTCCGTGCCTCCACAGCTTGTCGCTCTCTCACGCCACAATGCCAGGTATTTCCCAGCCTCAGGACGCAGGAACTGATCCTGTTCCCCTCCCCGGAGCCCTTGGTTTGCTCAGGCTGCTCCAGGCGGGAGCTTCTCTGTCCCAGACATTTTGTCACAGTGGGAATTCCTTCCCCTCCACCCTCTGCATTTACACGAACACAACCCGAGCACAGAAAAGAGGGGGACTTTAAATCAGCCTAAGTTTACCAAGTCCAAACTGTTTAAAGTTAAAGTTTATTTGTATTCTTTGTAGGAATATCAATAAAAGTCCTCAAATGTATCTATATCTGTACATATTACAAGAACCTTCAAAAATTATTCACAGAACAAAAATAAATCTTCTTTAGAACAAACCCAGGCAATGAAATGCAGAAATGGATCTCAGAGACCAAACAGTCCAGTGCTACAAGCATAAAAATACGGCTTGAAAAACAAGTTTATTCCTTTTTAAAGGTGTACTTTGTTGAAATAAAAAATAAATTATTTAGAGCTATCACTGTAGAATAGTTCTGTGTAGTAACACTCTTATTTAAGGCCCTTGAGACAGAAAATCTATTTTTGCAGGTAGGATTCCTGGCAGGCATGATCTGTAAGGACATGCTCACTCTTCTGGGGGCTAACTTACTGTGGAGAAGGAAACACTTAAAAACATCACCCTAAATTTTACCCTTTTTTCTCTGGCAGATCATGCCCACCACTGATGGAAATGCACATCATGGTTCAATTGGGACAGGAATTGTTCTCCAGGAATAACACAGACATTTTTGCAGAACACAAGCAGAATTCATCCACACAAGTAAGTATTGCTGACACATTCCATGGATGTGGCTGTAAAATTCAGGGACTTCCAAGTTAAAAGCTGGTGGGTTTACACAAGCATCAAAACATGAAATGAATATATCATAAGGGAAAAACTCACAGCCAAACCAAAGCAATTACATGAATGCAAAATAAACCCCACTTCTTTGATGATTTATTAAATGGATAAAGAATTTATTAGTGGATACACCTCATAGTCTCTAACTAGAAAATACATGCATCCCTTTCCATGCTCCTGTAGATTCCCTGCCTGAGTCATGCCACTGGAGAGGAATGTGACAAAATGTGTAGCTGTATGGATCTGTGCTTTTGTAAAAAGCTGCCCATTTCAGATACACCGGGGAAGTAACAGCTGGTAATTCCTAGATGTGAAATCTATTTCGCCTAAAAACAAAACAAAAAAAGGCCTGAATTCCTACAGTTTTAAAGAACAGGGATTTACAGGTTGCTGCCTATGCCATGCTCCCTCTGTCCTCTCAGAGCCTGTCCCTTGTCACCCTGCCCACCTCACACTGCAGACACCACACACAGCCTGCCAAGAGGTCACACACAAGAGGCTGCTCCATCTCCCTGTCCTGCTGTGCTGGCCTCAAGCTTTTCCTGAGCACTCAAGGACCCCAGGTGGCTTTGAGGTTTGGACAGAACCCTCCTAGAACACTACCAAATGTGGCCAGCACTTTCCTGTTCAGTCTGAAGAACATGAGTATTCCTCCAGGCTATCCAATATTTCCTGCACTACTTCATCTGTTCCCCAGTGAGAGCAGCAGCTCCTTGCACAGCATTAGACACAGCCATCAGCCTTTGCTCAGAGTGTGAACCCAAAGCCAGCTCCCCATCACTTTTTACTCCCTCAGAGTCCACTGGCCATGAGTCTAAACCCAAACATGATCCAGCCCAGGCAGGGCTCCTGCTCCTGAACAGACACACGGTTTAGTGCCACTTGGATTTTATCAGTCTGGACAAAATAGAAACTGGCATTTTCACATATTGTCAGCTTGAGGCAGCTGAAAGTTTTCTGGAAGGCTGCTTGGTAACAAACTAGGAGAGACAGCTGCCTGCAGGACTCGGGAGCAGTGTTTTGTGCTGCAGCAGATCAATTCCAGTCTTGCAGCACTGACTCTGCAACCTTCACCCCTCCAGGGTCTGCAGGCAGTGACCCCTCGGTGGCGGAGCTGGAGGAGCACGCCTGGCACCTAAGGGGAGAAATTGGAAAAGCAGAGAAACAACCAGCCTAGCAACGAGCTCTGAGACCATAGAGAGGGGTCAGGCTTTGAGAGAGCTGCTGCTTCTTCCTACAAGCATTCTTCAAGCTTGAGCAACACACAGAAGAAGGTACAGTATTAGAATGATGCACTACCAAAGACCTCACCAATACTGGGACAGGGATTATTTCCCCTCTAAAAGTGCAGGCTGAAATGCTGCCCCTATTGCAGAAACCAAAGTGGACACCTCAGCCCTCAGCATCAAACCACACAGGTCAGCCAGCAACCTCTGACATTACCAGAGCACCGGGGAGCTCTAGGGAAAGGTTTCCCAAAGTGATGGTGGAATAACTCTCCTAGAATACATCTGCTTCTGCCTTGTTCTGTCAGTGCAGCCCCACAGGAACTCACTCACACCTCGCTCACAGCACACCCACATCACCTGCATGGTGCCACAAGGGAGCAGTTCACATGCCCATCCCAAAAGGGATGGGAACATGTTTCCCCATGCTACAGCTGTGCAATTACAGTACATGGCTACAGGGACATGCAGATCCCAAAGAGCCCACAGAAAGTGTTTGTGTAAAAGAGGCCCTCACGTGACAGCTCAGCACAAACTGGAGAAGTTGCTACGGCTGCAATGCCTGAAGGGAGAAAGGAGAAACTTAAAGGCACAGTTTGAGGAATAAAATATCAGAGGTCAGCAAGGATCTAGAGCTGGAAGACGGTTTGGAAAGTATGGAAAAGTAACCACTGCTGAGCCAATGCAGAGCACAACCCCAGGTGTGTCAGTGCCGGTGGCACCGAGTCCTGCCCGAGCAGCCGGAGCAGCTCTGATCCCAAAGAGCCGAGCAATAATCCCAAATCCCAGCTCGCTGCAGTGCTCCAGAAGGCCTGGCTAGGATTGATGCACACACCTGCTACAGCACAGGGGTCTCTGCACAGATGCACAGAACACATGTGGGTAGTGATGGCAGCTTGAGCATCGTCACACCAGAGCACACACACTGCTCTGCCACCTCCTGCATCAACCACAGGGCTGGGAGGAATTCATTTCCAAAAACCAGGCAAACCTGGCAACAGACACCAGGTCTGGGTCTTGGTATTGCCAATAATTCATCAAGGTTTTGTCTCAAACTGAAGTAAACTTTCCCAATTTCCACAGCAGGTGTGAATAGTTAGTCACACTGGCTGTTATCAGCATGTTTCTGTAATTAACAATTTCAATCAATGCTGCAATAATTTCATTTACTTTAAGAGTCTGAGGGCTAGAAAAATGCACAGCAAAAGCTGGAAGTAAAAATTCACACTTAACTCCAGAATCTGGGATTTAAAAAAAAACCAAACCCTCTCAGATTAAATATTGTGGCACTTGATGAAATCATGAGAATTGACAATACCAAGCCATTTACTGTTCATCTGTTACAGGTTGTGAATGTCACTATCTCCCAGGAGAAGGTCACTTAGGAGCGATATCCCATTCACACACAGTCTGGAATCATGCTTCTATGAAACACAACTGAAAGGAATTGGAGACAAAAGCTTAGTCAAAACTCCTGAAAAGAATGGCAGTGTACAAAACTTAAAAAAAAAAATCCCTTTAAATTATCCAGAGAAAGGAAAATTTCAGCAGAAATGGAAGATCTTTCAACAAAGGTGCAGAAAGCACCTTTCATTGGAACTACGCTGGTTAAGCAAGTGGCTGAAATAGTGAAAATAAGCAAGCATTAAAATACAGAAATCCTCTAGAAAAAGGGACTTTTGCATATGGAATTTCCTGTGCTGGGCATGGGCACCCTTTGGTTAGCCCTTTCCCGAGAGGATTAACCTATCTGTTCCTGATGGAGAGCAGAGAGGGAATTCAGGGTGCCTCTGCAGGGGGTGTACAGTGGGGATTGGCTAGAAATCATTAAAAAAGTATTTACAGGTCTGTAAATCCTCCAAACAGAAAATATAAAACTGCATCAGAACTGGGGTAAAAAAGAAAGAATCCTACCACAAAATCCTGCAGATTCCCTCTGTCTGACAGGAAGCCTGACTGTGCAAATTCCAGGAATCCAGCTTGCTGCTCCCACTTTGTACCTTCTTCAGAAAAACTTTTTTATGACAGAGTCCTATTGGAAGTAGGTACGGGACACAGCAAGAGCCTGTTCTCTTGCTAAAACGTTTGCTATCAAGTTTGCATTCAGCTAAAGACCAGCTGGGGAAGAGGGGAATAAACCCAGCTGGTGAGTTTTCCTATGGAATTCATTTCACTCCATTCATGTCCTTTTATCAGCCAGTTGCTGCCTCAGCTCACCTGCTGCTCACCTCTCTCACCCAAAACACACACGCACACACACTCCCCTCTTCCTCCTCCCAGGACTGCAGTGCTTTCAACAAGAGAAAAACAACAACAATAACAACAACAACAAAAAAATAATAATAATAATAATAAAAAATAGCAATAATTAAAAAATCTACAGTATTCACTTCCTTTTGGTATATTACATTGGCATTTTCTGTACACAACCAAAGAGCTCCCTCTATTTACACAGTGATCCACAAGGACTTATTCTGGGGAGCCTATTTCTCCTGGCCCTGAGTGGGGAATTAAAGCCCACCCTTCAGAGTTGCTTTTTCAATTTTATTGAATGTACAATACTATCTTAAAACAATTTAAAATACAATTTTAAAATACAATTCTAAAACAACTTTAGAACAATTTTCAAACAATACAATCTTCAAACAATACAACTTTCCTTTTACAGAAGAACTATGTGCAACAATCAGTGACGGTGAGGGGTCTTGGCTCTGCTCCGTCTTGCTCTTCCACGGAGGTGGTTGGCAGCACCTGCAGAATTAGAAACTGCTGTTCTTAAATTCACCATTCTCCGTGATGGAAAGCTTGGGAGGGTTGCCATTCCGGACGTGCATGGTGTAGCGCTCCTTTACCTGCGTCAGGGCACTCATCAGGCGCGTGTTGGCCGAGTCCAGGAACACGATCCGCTTCTCCTGCAAAGACACCCCACAGCGTCAGAGCTGCCGCACGCCCGGCGCCCTCGCTGGGAGCGGCCTGGCTCTGGGCAGAGGCAGCTGGGCCAGCGGTCCCTGGCGAGATGGGCTGGCTGCCTCTTTCTGTTTTCGGGGTGCCACGGGCTCCTCTGCGGCCGCTCCGGCCCTCCGGGGCTTTTGGTGCGACGAATCCGAGTTACAGCAGGGAATCGATCCGGGTATGGAGGCTCCACCCAGCCAAGCAGGGTTTTGCCACAGGGGAGTGGGAGGGGGTCGGTGTTAATAACAATGGTAGCCAATTTCCATATTACGTTTTAGAAGTACGTTAGAAAAACAGAAACAGGCAGCAGAAAATAAAAGTGGTGGTGGGGGGTTTTCATCTGGCAGAGAAAAGTGCAAGTGGTATCTGCCGACCATCATCTCTGTGCTTTGGATGGAGTGTGCTCAGAGTAAACTCATGGGATGCTTGAAATAAATAAGTAAATAAATAAATAAAAATAATAAAAAAGCAGAAAATGGCAGCCTGCGGTGACGGTGCAACAGCAACACAGAGAAGCAGCAGCCAAAGCTAACGCTGAGGGTTACTGGAGGTGAGGGGGAGAGGGCACTGTGGGTGGAGGGGAGATGCCATCGACAGAACACAAAGAACAAACATGGAACACGCTGCTCCTAGACCCATTCCAGCTCGGGGGGCTCCACGAATGCCTGGTTGATTGTCCTTGCACAGAACGTGCCAGCCTCTCTCGGAGCAGACAGCTCAGGGATGTGTGCTGTTAAATTGACATGACCCATCACCAGACCCAGCCTGCTAACAGTGGGATATCTGCAGTGGGATACAGCACTGGAGGGGCAAGCCAAGGAGTTGTTGGCATAATCAGAGATGACAATTTCCATCTTTCCCCCAAAAAGCTAATAATAATGCAGCTGCAGAAGGCAGTGCTAGAGATAGCAGGAAGGTAACTGTGCTCTCCATGCCACCAGCTGATTGGCTTTTGTTCTTTGAGAAGGGAAAATGCCTAATTTGCTCAACCAAAACAAGTTGCACATGGGAACTCTTCCCAGTCCAGCCCATTGGGAAACAAACTAGAGGGGAAAATGATGCATGCGAGGCATAAAGATTAAGGAACTCTTCAGACACTGCTCAGGAGACTCACGTGCTAGCAGAGCCCCTTGGGATTCAGATCCCAGCACATCAGTGCGTGCCACAGCACCAATTAGCAGTGTCTGCTTTTCTCAGCAGGCTCCCCAACAGGGGTGAGTGCTCAGGTGCAAAACAATGCAGAATTAAACTCCTGCTTCTGTTACAGCCCTGAAGATGCCGAGCTCTGTGTAAAGCCAACAGAGGAAGAGGAGGCACAAGGCCTGCCTTAGCCCTCATCCCAGTCCAGCTGATGGGAGCAGAGAGAACACTGAACTGAGGATTTACAAGCCTTTTCTCCCACGCTGAAATGAACCCTGCAGAACACAACTGCCTCAGAAGAATGTGCCCCTCAGCCAGGCAAAGCTCCTACTCCTCTGACTGTATTTCACCTGGAACACACAATTTAAAATGAAAATTTTCCTTCTGCAACTTTTCCTGAAAAATTTTCTAAAAAAAAAATCTTTCCAAAGAGTTGAAAATGAAGGGCTGGGTGTTTCCAGACACTGCTGAACACTCACTGAGCCAGTCTGCAAAACAGCTGGAAACCCACACTTGGAAAATCAATCTCACAAGGTTGGTGAGTAGAGGCATCTTCTCACTGAAAGGAAAATTGGATCTACCAGGCACGTATCTAACTCACTCAGGGCACAGGGAACAGGAGGAGCTGGAATGGGTAGGAGGTCAGTGTGCTGCGCCAGGACTGGGTACTGCTCAGCTAGAGAACTGATTGGGTTTACTTGCCTGTTGGAATTATCTCATCCCCATTTATGACCTGTAATTTAACACAGTGCAGATGTCACTTGCAATAGCAACTGGGCCAGTTCTCTTTGCAGCTGTGCCGCTCCGAGGAGAGAGTCTGGCCAGACCTATCCCTGCTCAGGCACCAGAGCCAGGGGAACAGCTCGTGTCTGTGGGCGTGGGGGCAGTGCTGGGAGCTGCACTGCATCCCTAAAACCATCCCAGGCTGGTGTCCCTAAGCACAGGATCCCAGGTCACTGCTGCTCCTGGCAGCCTTTAACTCTTCACCCAGGCACGACGAGCCGGGTTTCAGCCCCACTCGATGGATCTCACATAAAAAAAAACCTTTCCTTTTCTAGATATTGAAGGAATCAGAGTAAATAAAATCTTCCAAGCATGACTTCAAGGGATTGCTACAGAACCCAGCAGACATCTAGGCTCCCCTGGTGAGTCTCTTCTGAACCTTTCACCAGTTTCCTGCTCTGCTCAGGTACTCGAGGAAGGGCAGTGACAGCTGCACTTCCCCCATGCACTGCCTGACAGTGAAGCAGGTGAGGTTTGCAGTGACCTTTCCTGACCAGGAAAAAGAGAAATCATTAATGCTGTTTTGCTCCTGTTTTTTCACTGGCTTCCACCACAGGCGATAAATGCTGCATCACTTGATGAAGTGTGACCAAGAACTACACCCTTCCTGCCCTGAGGACTTGAAGGTCTCACAGGTCAGCAGTGGTTCCCTCTGCCAGCTGGTGACACAGTGGTCCATGCTCCACCTTGCTAGCCCATAACCAACACCAAGGCTGAGAGCCTCCTGGCACACACAGGTAACAGGCAAGTTTCTTACTCAGTCACAATCTCTCCCCTCCAAAAATCACTTTGCATATTTGCCCTTCCATCTTCTTGAGGCAGATGAAAAATGCATCCATCCATTTCAGAATCCAGCCTGCTGCCTGGATGAGCTGCCATTCCATGCTTGTAACAACAGGATGCCCTGACTGTGCCTATCTCCAAAAAACACAGCTCTTTGCTGCTTTACATTTTCCCTGCAGTTCCACAGAAGTTCAAATATTTCTAATACCTCAGTGCCATGTTTAACCATGTTCAGCTGAGACTCCCACCACCACTCTTTATGCAGGAAATAACTTAGGTTATTCATGAAAAAATTATTAAAGACAGTTTCCATATGGAACTACTGAAAAGCCCAGAAGCAGGAAAGAGACCCTCCAGATGCAAATACCACAAACATAACACTGCAGGCAGATACAAACCAGTCCCGGGTTCTGTTGTGGGATCAGCACAGACACAGAGGAAAAGCTGGAATGACCCCACAGGATACACCCACATGCAATTCCCACTAGGTTCCCCTCCCCACAGCTGCCCAGGGTGACCGAGGTGGGAGCTGCAGGTTTGTGGGAAATGGGCATTTCCCCAGGACTGCCAGGATGTCCAGTGGGGTGAAATGCCACACGTGACATTCCCAGGACAATGCTCCATTGCAGCATTCTCTTTCCTGGACTCCACTGTCCAAAGCCATGCTATTGCTGGCACAGCTGAGATGCATGCACATGGCAGCTAAACTATGCTGGGGTGGGGCACAGCTTCCCCAGAGGTCCCAGGTCCACACTTGGAACATCTACACAATGCACTGCTATTCCTTTACTCCCTTGGGATCTCACAAAGCAGCAAAGGTTTTGAAGATGTGATCAGTCTTGGGATTTGTTGCCAGGCTGCCTCAAAGCCCAGTTGTCTCTCAGAGGCAATAAGTGACACGTGTCACACTGGTGGCTGATACAGCTCAGAAGATAGAGAACAGTGCTGGGGCGGGAGAGAGGGGCCAATAACAGGTTCTACACACAGGTTCTGGGAGATCCTGAACTCTTCACCTACCTGTGCATCAATAATTTTCTGCTTTGCATCAATAACTGCTTGCATCTCAGCGTGATCCTTCTTCAGCTCCTCTTCAACAGCCATGAGTCTGATGGGCAAAGAGAGGGACAAATTAGGATAGGTCAATATTCCCAAGTGTTTCAGGTACTCTGGCCTGTTGGTTTGATTTCTCTGCTTCTTCTGGCTCTCCAAGAAAAGAATTCTACTGCTCTCAGGAAAGCTTATCTCTCCATCATACACTCCCAGTTGCTCAGCCTTTTTATTTTCAGGATGGACACTGCCAAAACCTGCACTGCTCTGAAAAACTAATTTAATGTACAGATTCCAAACAACAGCAAAAATAGACCTAGACTCAGAGACCTAAGTTGAAAATTCCTAAATATTTTCTTTTACCTTCTTGACAATATCAGGAAAGTTTCCACACCTGCATGCCCATTTCTTCAGCTCCAACCATAGAGTGGCACAGGGGAAAACCCAGTCCCGAGCTTTCCAAAGCCTCACCTGCTGATGATACTCTTCATCTGGCTGTCCTTCTCCTCCTGCTGCCTGCGCAGCCTGTCCTCACTGTCTTCCAGTCGAGATTTGTAGTCTGTGAGCAGCTTCTGCATCTGCTGCTCCTGCACCAGGAGCCGCCGCTCGTACTCCTCCAGCCGGCGGCTGGACACGCGCAGGCGCTCCTTCAGCTTGGCGATCTCCTGCTCGTACTGGGGGTGCCAGATTGCCAGGTGCAAAGGAAAAAAGGAGGAAATCAGATCCCGATAATGCTCTGCTGCTCTTTAGGGGAGTGGTTTTTTTTGTTGTTGTTGTTGTTTTTTGTTTTTTTTTTTTTTTTAAATAAAAAATAAGGTGATTGAAGTAAAGGATGTGAGAAGCAGGGGCAACTGTAGAGAAGGAGCATCCAGCTGCTCCCATGCTGTGGGTATCACTCTGCAGTACAATTCCAGCAGTAGGAGGGCTCTGACATGGCTCCTCATCCTTGACTGGTCACATCCCGCCTTACTCCAGACTCCAGCAGTTCTCAGGTAGATGCTGCTAACAGTGCTCAACTGCAGAAAGGGCCTGGGATGCCCAAACTTACAAACCCAAACCTGTGTAGGACACGAAGCTCACTCTTCAGGACCTAATCAATCAGGGTGGGTCAGAGCAAACCAGTCACTGCAAACCAGAGCCTGTCAGGCTACTTGGCTGAGCTTTTGTTCTTGTTACTCTGGGCAATAATTTCTGCAATAGTGCCATGAATCTCAATATATTCCTTTGTTTTGGGTTCATTCACCTTTCCTAACAATCCTGTGTTTCTGTTTCTTTGTCCACTAAATGTTCTGCTCACTCCCTGTGTTCTCAAAATACCAGACCTCTTACACAACAACTCCATCCCCACAGCAACACATGGCTGTATAACTGTATTTGGAAAAATGGGATCTACTGAAAAAACATACACTTTCAAAAACCGATCATGCAGATTTCTGTGCAGCTCAGAAACCTTGCAGTACCTGGCTGACCAGCATTTGCCTCAGGAGAAGCCCAAGACAAAAATCGGACTGCTGTTACTGATGAAAGCTGAGCTGTAGCCCCTGCATAGTCCCTGTGCATGTCCTAAGCTATGCTCAGTGCATAAAGTAAATAAATGTAGTAAAATAAAGTAAATCCCGATTTACTTTATTTACAGAGTTAGTGATCACTATAACCAATATAACCTGCGTGAGAATGTGTGATGCTGTGACAGCAGGGCCTGAAAGTCCCTCTGAACTCGCTGTGGGGTGCACAGTACTCAGAATCAAATCTACCTTCTCAGCATGCTTGACTTCGTCCAGGTTCTGAGCAATGTCCTTCTTGGTGTCCTCGTACTGGCCATTGTTGAACACCCACGCCGCCGTCCTCTCCACCGGGGACAGCGTGGCAGAGTCCACTGGTGACTGCACCTGGGGCAGAGACACCTGGGTGTGAGCATCCACCAGAGGAACTGCACACAAACCAACTCTGACATCCAGCTCAACTGGAGGGGAAAGATACCCATGGATCTGGTGCCTCAAAGAATCCCCAGAAGGTCTCCTGCAGGCATACTCCAACCTGTCTTGACTTTGGACCTACAGCACCTACCTGAATCCCTCTAAAACCAATCCACTTTAGAAATTTTTTTTCCTCTCCAAGTGAGCTTCTCTCTGAAAATGCTGTTTCCCAATCCTGTACACATCCACGTGTTCCCTTTGCCACACTGTCAGCTAGGCTTTCTCACCCTGCCACCTCTTGCACAGAGAACACACAGTGACAAAGCTCTGCTCACAGCGAGCTCAGGTGAGACAGGTTGGTTTCCCTGGAGTGCAGAGGAGCTGAACTTGGGAGCAGCTTCCTCAGCCAGGTTGGGACAGACTGCAGTGGAGCCTGGGACTGCACAGCCTGGATCTGGGACAGCGTGGCAGGACTTGTTGTGGCAGGGACGTGGGACATGATCACAGCAGTGCCTGCCAGGTTTGGATGGGCCAGGGCCAGCTGAGCTGACTGGGAGAAATGTCCAACCTCTTTGGAAGCTCTCTCTCTCCTCTTCAAGAGAATCCAAAAAGGGAGCCAAGAAAAAAGACAAGAAACTCTCTGCCTGGCTGGGGAAAACATGGCTTACTATAAATTCCAAGCAATTTTCATGGACAAAGACAAGTTTATAAGCGCAGGAATTAGCATAATTACTCCTGAAAGAGCAACATTGTCTTATGTTTTTGAGAAATGCAAAAGATCAACTTCTCCCCAGCTGCAGCTTCTTTTTGTGCTCAGGCAGCCCTTCAGCTCCCTGCCTAGCCCAGTGGTGCACCCAAGTGCACTGTGCTCCCTGGCTGGATCTTCTGAAGCCCCAGTCTCAGCCAGGAGCTCTCCATGGGGGAGGAAGAGCTTCTTTAGGAGTCAGGGATCATGTCACCCTCCTGCTGCGTTTCTCCTGCTCAGGAGGACAGGGCTGGTGCTGGCTCTGCTCCCACAGCTCAGCTGTCCTGAGCAGCCATGGGCACTTCCAGCAAGGGAAGAAGCCTCAGCAGAAACATAAACGCAAAGAAAAGGCATAGGAATTAGACAAAAATTCTTGGATTTAGGCAAAGGCCTTTTGCCTAGAAGGAAGTCTTCACAATAAGAAAGCTAACAGCCTCTTAGGTGTAGTGTGGCAGCCTGACAAAGCTCATAAATTCAGATTTTTTTGATGGCATTTGTTGTCAGGCAGCCAAAGCAAGGGAGTCCATGGACCATGTGTGGCTGTGAATGGCTGGAGAAATCAGGAACAGGACGGATGAACACTGTCACCAGCCACTGGAGCTACAGGGGACTCAAAGAGCAGAAAGGTGACTATAAAGTACATCCCCTGCCCTGCACCAGACTGCTGAGCAGCAGCAAACCTGGCCAAACAAGTTTCCAAGTGTAGGACAGAATATTTCCAGCAGACAAATTGTGGAAACTGTCAAAGACCAAGTGGATGGCAAGTCACACATGCTAATGGGTTACAAGTTATTCTCTAATAAAGGGCAAAAAAAGAATTAGTCTGCTAGGATCATGTATTAATTCCCCTCTTTGCCTCTCTTCCAGAGGAACACACTGACATTTCTGTTCCCACCTACCTCCTAAATGGAAATGGAAGGCAAAAAGTGACCTCTCCCAGCAAACAAAGGGCCCAGCTCTATATTCAGAAACAAATGGGACTTGTGGAGAACAGAGTCTAATAATTATAACGCCCACAAAACATGCCTAGAAAGAACATGCCCAAAAAGAACATGCCCAACTTCTCTTTTCTCTTTCTCTTTTTTAAACAAAAACAGAATTCCACAACAAGATTTGCAATTAAAAGGACGCAATGGAATTTGCCTTGCAAAAAATGTTGGCCACTCGATTTGGCACCATTCAAGACACTGTTCATGGGTGTGGGGAAGGAGAGAACAAATTGATTTCTCTGAGTAAAGCAGGAGCAAGTACTCTAATGAATCCAGTGGAAATAATTAGTATAGAAAGTACAGTGGGAAAACAAGTGGATGCACATCCCCTTCACATTTATCCTTGTTATTGGCCTAAAATGTGCTACCAGAACCACACAAGGTTCTGCTTGTATTCCACAGAAAACCCTTGACCTAGCCATGCCCCTATGCCCCACACTTCAAATAACAAACAATTACTTCTTTGGGTATCACTAACTTGGAACACTAAGCTTTGGCTTGTGATTCAGTGTTTCTGTCTCATACTTCAATGAACTTGAGGTATCAATGTAGTTCTGAAGCCCTGATTGCTCCTGATTTCCCAGGCATCACCCAGGTTTTCCTGTAACATTCAGGAGTTTGCCAAGAAAGCCCCACTGTCAGGGAACACCAAAAAACCTTGGGCACAGCAGAGGTTGTTCTGCCAGCTTCACCTCACAGCCCAAAGCCTTCCCCCTGCAAGAGCTCTGACCTGCAGATCATGTTTTCCACCTTCACTGTAGCATTGAAATATTCACTTCCTCTGTAAAATTAAACTAATTTAGGAAAACATTTTCATACACAGCAAATCACAACATGATTGTTATTATTTTTTAAAACAAAAGATGGAAGGAATGTTGGCTTTTTGACAGGAAAACCTTGATTTATAGTGCCTAGGAGCAACTGATAATGTGCAGTAAAAGTTGGTAGATATAAGCACCCCTTGCCACAAAAAATTTGCATTATTCATAGTTTGGGATGATTAATGAAAAGCAGCACTTTTCTGAGGAACAGCAAGAGATTGCTTCATCATGGTGAAATATGGATTTCTCCACACTTTAGACAACTGTGCTTATTTGTTATTTTGGCAGCAGTTATTCTGTGATGTTTTATCTTTGTTCATTTCGAGGTAGCTCTGCTTTTAAATTAGCACCACAGGGCAAACACAGTCTCACGTGGTGATCTGAACTACCACTACAAAGCTGCTTCTGGTTGTTTTTTCTCTTTGTATTCAGGGAAATTTTCCAGTTCTGTTTCTTTCAGCAGGTTTTCTGCTACCTTAGTAAATGGAAAACAGTTCTTTGTTTTTCTTTAGATTTAGTACAAAAGCCTCCCAGTGGCACAGATAAGGTGGCTTGCCAAGCTTGTGAGGGTGACAACTATGACTACTCCTTACACTTGCTACTGGCCACTGGCGTAAACGCTGCTACTCTGGATTCAGCTTGGATTTTCAGATTCAAGGTCAAGCAAGCTTTGGAAGCCAAGGAGCAATAGGCTGCACACCACAGCAGAGGCCCGGAGGCAGGACTTCCTTACCTGCTGCGTTTGCTGCCGCTGAATGGCCCGCACCTTGGGGACGGGGCTCTCCCTGGAGGACGAGGACTGGTGCCGGGAGCGGCTGCCGTTCTGGATGGGCTCGGCGCCCAGGGCCCCCGAGGCTCCGGACACGCTGCCCGTGCTGCGCAGGGAGGGGCTGTGCGTCAGCGTGTGCAGCGTCTTGGCCCTGGTGCCCAGCACGGCTTGGTCCATCTTGCGGATCTGCGCCTGGCTGCTGCTGTTCTGCCGGGGCAGCACCACCGGCACGTGCTTGTCGGGGCGCCGCGCCGAGTCCTCGCTCTGCGAGCTGCGCTTGGCAGAGTCCTCCAGGCTGCTGTTGCTGCGCCCGCTGGGCTTGAAGTCCTCGCTGTTGCTGCGGCTGCGGGAGCTGGCGGTGCTCAGGTTCTCCGGGCTGGAGTCCACAGAGGCCTTGGCCGTGGGGGGGCTCGGGTTGTTGAGCTGGTAAACCGGGTTTTGGAACGAGAGAGGCCGGAGGCTGCCCTGCTGGTTCCACGCCGGGTGCAGCGGCCTCCGGACCTGGGGAGCGCTCTGGGGGGTGCTCTGGGCGTCCCACAGCTGTTTGATGTTGGCCACCTGGGTGACGGAGAGCTGGCTGCCCGCCAGGCGCAAAGGCACGTCGTGCATCACGGAAGCGGTGTCACCGTGAGCTGTGTGAGGGTCCTGCAGGTCCATCAGAGAGATGCTACGGCCGTTGGGCAAGACACTTACCTTCTCATCCTTATCTGAGCAAGTCATGCTCTGGGTGGATGCCTGCTGAACCAGCAGTAAGGTCTTGCCCCTAAAATGTCCATCTATATTTTCCTGGGTTGGAGACTTCATCTTGTTTATGTCACTGTGGAATGGAAAGGAATTTGGTTAATTTTTGAGCAGCCAAGACCCTGAGAGATCTGTCCCAGAGAAGTCTTTCTACCTCACTTAACCTCCCCCCACTGAAAGCTTCAAGGAGCCAGACTTCCTTTTATGAGCTCTTTGTGTGCAAGTCAGAACACACTCTTCCTTAATTACCACTTATCTTGGAGAATTGTGTTTGATTTAAGAAGTCCTTCATCTTTATTTTTTTCCACATGTGAAATCTAAACCATTCCCACTAAATCCTCCCCCCCACCCTTAGTCACTTTTGTCTTTAGCAACATTTCAGATGCCATTTAATCCTTGGTCATTATGTAACGAGAGACGGGACAAAAGGAAATCGCCTCAAGTTGTCCCAGCAGGGATGGTTTAAATTGAATACCAGGAAACATTTCTTCACCCAAAGGATTGTCAGCACTGGCTCAGGATGCCCAGGCAGTGGTGGAGTCACCATCCTTGGAAAGTGTTTAAATGTGGCACACCAGGACATGGCTTAGTGGTGGCCTTGGCACTGCAGGGCTAATGGTTGGACTTGATACTCTTAGAGGGCTTTTCCAACCTTAATGGTTCTATGAGTCTGTGTATTATGGAGGTCTTAAAATTCAGCAGGAGTGAAGGCTCCTTCAGAGCTGGATTTAAGCTCAGGGGGCACGTGACAAACTGGCCCTTGTACCTGACAGCACAGGTACTGCTCTGGGCCTGCAGCAGCCGAGCCCTTTGGCAGCTCTGCCATGTCACAGCTCCAGATTAACAGCTGTTACAGTGTGAGAAATGCTGCATGAAACACAGGAGGGACTATTTCTGCTTTCCACAGCTAATAAGTTTCACCTACAGCTCAGTTTTTCCATTAGCAGCCTGATGGCCAGAAGGAAACACGATGGCTGACTGTGCAGTGGGGCTGCCAATAAATCACAAAACTGTTATTTTTATCAGCTCAAGTCACTGATTCCCAAAGATGAGGTTGAGTCTTGGGTAAATCCAAAGCTCCACGTGCTCAGTGCCACCTTGTGCACCTCCTACTGGGATGGTCTATTCCCCATGAGAGAGGCCAGAGCTCCCCATTCCACAGCAGGGCTGGGCAGCAGCTCAGGTGATGAAGCCCCCAACCCTTGGAACCACAGAATGGTTTGAGCTGGAAGGAGACCTTGAAGATCATCTTGTTCCAACTCTTCACAGCTTTAACACCCCCACAGCTGCCCTCGAGCCCTGGCTGGGACGTACCCATCGCTGGGGTCCTCAGTTATCTTCTGAAGTCCCGAGGAGAGACTTCCAGCAACGTTTGGGCTGGAGCTGTGCTCCGTGAAACGCTTCAGCTGCTGCTGCGTGGGTGTAGGGCTGGTCATGGATTTTGTGATATCCGCAAGAATACGAGGGAGAGGTCCCAGTTTTGCCACGGTTGCCTGTAGGAAGGAATTTTCACCCTAATTGGATACAAGCACCACGACATCCGGCAGGTTTGGGTTTTTTTGGTACCGATGCACAGAGGCGGAGGGATGGAGTGGAAGGAAGGAGGGTGGGTGGTTGTGTGCGGGTGTGCCAGGATCGCAATGCAGTGTTATGGAGCAGCGCAACGACGGCGACGAGATGGATGGAGGAGACGAAACGGGGTGCAGCAGACATTGAGGAAAGAAAAGGAAATAGAAAAGAAATTAGGATTGACCCCCAAAAATAAAAATCATGCTCAATAAAACAAAACTACTGGCATTCCAATGCAAAACTATCATGCAAAGCACACTGGGTCCTGGGTGGGTGAGGTCAAAGTGAAAACTACGGCATCTGCTCATTGAAGGGCATTCAAAGGCTACAGATTCAGCTGGTGGGGGGAACTTTCCAGGCAAAGGGTGTCATGTGGTAAAGGAAATGCATGCCAACAGATGAGGGGGATCATGAGAGGATCGCAGGGGTTGAAGGTGATGGGGAAAGGGAAGGTTTTCGTTTCATAAGCCTTTCAGTTTTGGTATCCTACATGGATGCCGTCTCCTTTCGCACTGTTATCAACAATTAATGAAGCCATTCTTCCCTACCCAAACATGAAAAATAACTGCATGAGAGCAGCAGTGATGCTCATCCCAATATCACCCCATCAGCATGGGATGAAATGTGTGGCTCCAATTACAGGTTAGCTCAGTGCTGGCCAGGCTGAGGGTAAGAGCAGCTGGCCTTCAGCAAGGAAGGCTGCTCCCCCAGGCCCTGGCTTCTCACCCCTTTGGGCCACTGCTGGGAGATCAGCTACAGGGCATCTCCAGGCTCCTGGGACTGCAGGAAGAAGGTGAAGGAGCTGCAGATTTATTAAAAAATTAAAATTCTGCTACAAAACCAATGTTCTTCTCAAAGATACACTTGTTTTCCCCATAAGCAGGTATTCAGTCAGTTTGGCTCCAGAGAAAGGTCTCTTTACAGACTCTTTCATACAGCACTGTGGCTATTAAAATCTCCAAGGTGGCTCCTCTCATTATTTCCCAGTCATTCCCTACAGTAAAGCCATAATGCATGTAACTTTACCCCTTAATTCTCTTTTCAGGAAACGACTGTACCAGCTCCCAAGGGCTGCTAGGATAGATCCATACATCTAACCTACAGAAAGGGCCATGCAGATCCATACATTTGGAATCTACACTGTGTATATGTATGAGGTAAATTGAAAAACAACATCATAACTTATTATCAAACTAAGATTAATATACAGACTGCCTTTTTGAGTCAAGGGCATTTCAATGTACTCTGATGCAACAAGCTCAGATTTTTGTTTTTTTCTTTTAAATAATGTACAGTGAAAAAATAGATACACAACCAGTAACTACTTTGGCAAACCCTAATGCAATAACAATTAAGTGCATTGCTATTCACCTTACTTCTCCAGTTTCAAAAGAAACAATAATATACATGGGACAGGGACAAAATAATGCACCTCTAAGAACTGAAGTATGGAACAGTTCCAAGCACTTAAAAAAAAAAAAAAAAAAAAGACTCAGAGTTCAGCTTTTCTGGGCCTTATCAACTACCTTTGCTACCAAGATTGTAATGATTTTGGTTCCTGCAAACCCACACAGCTAATGAAGAACAAAGCTCTGCCCTTCCTCCTTCTACAGCTAAATGGAAGCAGTGCTCATTGTTGGCAGTGTCTGCTGGGATCAGAACAGAACCTGGACACTGCACAAGAGCTCAGCAGAGAGCATCTTGCTCTGCTACAGGATGGCACTCGGAGCAGATCCAGCTTCTTACATGGCATTCCTTGCTTGCCAAAATCAAAGGCTACGGAAATGAGAGCATCTCAGCAGGCTTTGGATCGGGTTGCTGATGAGAACAGCTCCACAGGACCAACTCATTCCTCCATCAGAAGCAGGGGAGGGCCTGGTGTGCAGCAAAGCACCTCCCTTAGCACCACAAGGGCACAGCAACGTGGCCTTTTCCTGTCCAAATGCCTCACTTACGAGACAGGACCGGCTGCCCTGGGGATTTCAGGTCCACTTCCAAGCAATGCCTTCAGCACCTGACCTTCCTAAAGGCTCTGCAAAGTGTCTGCAGTGCTGCTGCAGCCCAACCACCTCACACACCCTGCTGCAGCCCTGATCCAAAACCACGGAAGGAGCAGTTGTGAAACAGCACCATCACACATTGCCTTCCAATGCTCCTGGCTTCCCTTGATATTCCCTAGTGTTTACTGTTGCTATGGTACCATCCCTGGATTCGCCATCCCAGGCCTCCAAACAGCTTTACCTTATCAAGCTGGGACACAACCTCCCACAGGAGGGAATGCAGCACTGAGAGCTCTTTGCCCAGGTCGATGTAGCCATCGTATCCAGGCATGTTGGAGATGGTATCTGGGTTAGAGAGCTCCCTCAGAAAACGCTGCATTCCTCCCCACTCATGTTCCAAAAATTCATTCATGAAGGCCATGTACTCTTCCTTAATACCAAACCTGCAGGAAAGAGAGGTGGGGGGGAAGCCAATCAATAATCTCCACACAACAATCAGAGTACAAGTGCTTACAGACAATTACTTAAATTCTTTAGTTTAGACCTGCCTTTCTGAAAATTTGGAATTTAAAAAAAAAAATTAAAAATCTGAAGATTTTGAAATCTTGGAGGAAAAAAAACCACATGGCCAATTTAAGAGCTTTGTTATACTTACTTAAATACTACTACCTCACTGTTTATATTACAGATCACATCTCTCCCTGCTCCCTCCCACGGATACTCTTTCTCTCCTCCCATGCAGGAGATGTGCCATGCCCTTTGTATCATTCAGCTGAGAATTCTGGAGGGAGAAAACATGAAAATCATGATCCTTGAAACAGCAAGGATCTTCTTTCCCTTTGAAACAGCACATACACTAACTTTTAGTGCATGACTCTTCTTGGTTTTTATGCTGTGTCCCCTCCACTGGGGGACAGAATTCAACACAGCTCCAGTCTGCATGTAAGGAGAATTTATCTGAGGTGTCTCAAGTGAGAAGATTCCCCCTTTGCTAAAGCTGGTTTCAGTTTGCCAGAGACTCAGCTGCATGTGAGCACAGCTAGGAATCGGGCACGGCGCAGGTTTGGGTTTCCCTGGCACCACCTACTTGGCAAAGTTGGCGAGGTTCTGGATGACTTTAGCAATGAGGGTGAGCGTGCGAGAGGTCTGGTCGTCAGGATACTCCTGCATGAGGTTGAAGAGGCTGGGGGACATGATGGCAGGGCACAGGAAGCGCAGGAAGAGAGAGGCACTGATCAGGCGCTCACTGATGTCCTGCTTGCCCCTGTTCAGGCACTGCTGCTTCCAAGATGCAAACACTTCCTTCAGCTCACGAGGGAACACGCTGAAAAGCACCAAATTTAAAAAAAAA